TATTAATACAATAATATCAAAATCCGCTGCTTAGAATTTCATATGATTCGTTTTAAATTCGGTGTAGTGGATTCTGATATTATTTTAATAATATTATTATATATTTAAGCACTGCCGAATTTGGCGTTCAGCACTCCCTTTATGTTATATTTTAAGCTTTTATATATATATATATATATATATATATATATATATATATATATATATATATATATCCCAACCTGTTAACATATTGACCACATTGCGTATGAAAAAGTAGAATTTGCACTAAATACACCCACCACATGCGCATTCAGAGAAAATGAAAGATAAGGTCATTCATATTATTTTTATCGACGTCAAATATGAATTAGAACGTGTTTGGGTATTTAGTTGCGTAGAAGAAAACAGTCTAAACTTTTATTCGAGAAGAATGCACTTGGAATTGTCTGCGTTTGACTTACTTAACAGGATTTTAACTAGTAGATATGAGTGAAACAAACAGTACCCACTCGTCACCCCACCTGCTGCTCGACAAAAAGATAAGTTAAATCAAGTGAACCTTGCAAGGTGATGTCTTGATCGAAATTCATCGGCAGTTCTGACTGATTGACAATGAGGTCATGTATATGAGGTCAAAAATTTGTTTTGTGACTGGAGGATGAACTTACCAAATCACTTCTGCTGAACTTTGCTGATACTTTTTGAAAGGGATTAAATTCTCGATATCAAAAGGGACCCAGTCAGAAATAAGGGAGGCTATTCTGAGTGCTTTATTTTTTAAGAATGTTGAGAGAGGAGATCTAGCAATGAAGGATCTGTAGCTATCACAGTCAAGTTTGGTATATCGAAAGACTGTCTAATGAGACGACACAACAACAGAGTATTCTTTTGGTTTGGCATCAGTCATGATCTAGACCAGTGAACGGTGTAAAGAACTCAAGGGAGGTAACCCTATTTGTCAGGATTGAAGGTGATCTAGACGTCTACGAGATTTGCGTAGTGACCTTCTATATCGGAAACACGAATAGATCCATAGTCTTTCCAAGTTTCTACCATCTTTCTGATTTTTATAAACGATCTACCGAGAAACATTCAAAGATCATTAGTAAACATCTATGCAGATGATGCCACTATTCTGGACGCACTTACAAAAATGTAGATGATCGAATATATGCAAATGATCTCGCCATTGATCTAGCATTAATAACTCAATAGGGAAAAAAACTAGCATGTATCATTCAATACATCCAAAACTAAACTAAGCTCGTAACATTTCATTATCACTGATCAGACCTTAAGTTTTATTCAGTCACGATAAATGGTTGCACATTCAATAAACCTGCTTCCTTTAAACCTCTGTTAGGTCTCAAGCTTGAAGTATTGAGGGATAATGACGAGGAAACACACGTGTTATATTTAACAAAACAAGATCAGTAGCTTGTTTCAGGGAAAGGAATCAAATATTTAAAATTCGTAGTTTTGATGAATAGCCAAGAGGAGAAAATGTTCATATTAAATCATCGAACACAAAGTAATATTCCCAAATATTTAAAATAAATTGAGAGAGTTCGTTTTTCAAATAAAATTTATACGGTGCTATTCAATATGAATAAAAAGATATATTTTAAGGTACTTAGTTTTGGAGTTGAATAGAGTTCTTTGAAATTGCCCTGCTTTTATTAGAGGCTGATAATGTATCAACGTGTAATTTCACACTGGCGTTATCCAGATGCATGGAACTCTGTTTCTGCTTTCTTTCTCTCTCTCTTTATCCCCCTCTCTTCCTCTCTTTCATTCTCTCTCTCTCTCTCTCTCTCTCTCTCTCTCTGCCTTGATTCAACTTTTTCTGCCTATTTATATCAAAAAGCGATTTCACATCGGCTCGTTTGTTTTTTCTCAGTCAAAATAAATTTTCACGTAGGCTCGTTAAACTTTGCCTTGGTTTTTTCTTCAGTCTGGAGCCAACCCCTTTTTCTCTTAGTCAAAATAAATTTTCGCATAGGGTCGCGAATTTGAAAACAGTGGAGAAAAGAGAGTTATTTTTATTTAGTATTCGCCACAAGCTTTCAGACCAGACCTTAAGCGGAACATATATACAACCCATTGCAAAGATGATGGTAAAAAGATTGGCGCATTCTACTGCTCCAAGAAGTACCTTACTCCTGCCATTCTTTATCTTTAGCTGAGTTAGTAAAGATCAAAAATGGAGTATTGTGGCAGTCATATCTGGGCCGGAGCTGTTCAATCCTCACTTCCTAGCCTTGATAGAGTTCAAAATCATTTAACCAGTCTTATAGGGTATCACATATTTCCACTCCGGAGACTCTTTCCCACGTTGCAAGACTATCACTATACTGCTTCTGTTTCCATGGCAAATGTTCAGATGACCTCCGGAGACTCTTTCCCACGTTGCAAGACTATCACTATACTGCTGCTGTTTCCATGACAAATGTTCAGATGAGCTCCATGCTTTAGTTCTACCAGTTCAGACCATTATTGCGAGTCGAATCACCATTTCCTCTGAATTCCAAATGTCAGGAGAAACGTCCACTCAAACGAACTACTATTTTGTGGAGCAGATTCCCATATAGATGCTTCCCTGAACACTAGAATCTTATTTGAAAGATCGATCGTTATCTATCCTCATTATGATCATAATCTTCCTTTCCTATCGCCTCCTATTTCATTCCTACCAACCCCCATTCATCATAAATCTTTTAGTCACCCTCTACCTCGAGTGGCTCACGCAGCATGTATTTGATGAACTTTAGTAAAACATACCTGAGTGAAATGTGATCCACCAGCTGTAGCAGGCAGTCATTCGAAGATACACAGAGTCAAGTTGAAACAGCGGGGTAATCGGAGTATGACAGTGATCGGCTGTCGGGATGAAATGTGGCTGAGGATCAGGTAGTTGACATCACAATTCGTCTTCGCCATTATTTCATCACCTCTTGCAAGACTCTATCGCCGGAGAATTTATGCCAACTGAAGAAATTTTCCACAGTTTTCGTCTGCAGACTGATGATCGAATCGTAGAGTTGGAAACCAGATTTTTAATTTCCCTGATTGAATTGTTGAGCCTACTACCAGTCAATATTCCAGGGTATTACTGTTGTTTTTGCAAAATGCTGTGAATAATAGAGACATCTACTAACTCACTAACCGGCCATATTAAGACAGACACCAGAATTAGCGAGGGGCAAACTGATAAACGTAACTATAGACAAAAAAAATAAAAAATAAAAAAAATATCCATGTTATTTTTTTTTACAAGCAAGATCTGGTGTTCTGTTCTAAAAGCAACTTCCTTCTTTATTTTTCTTGCAAATCGCCCACTTTATTTCTGAGGGAATATCGCCTAAGTATTCTTCAGATAAAAAATAAATAAACACAGTGTAAGTGAGAAGAGGGTTTCTGCCATAAGTAATTTGAAAGAGAAAAAAAAGAAGGTTGGAATTTTCTGATGATATAATTATACAAGTCTCCAAATTGAATAGAATAAAAAATAGGCTGAACCCGAGGAAGACGATATCATAAGGATATTATCGGAGTTACCTCCTCCTAAATTTTGAAACCACTACTTAGTGGCGCTCTCGAATGCTATATATACACAGCTAGGACTGGTCTCGTCCTCTTCCTCTTTTCACCTTTCAGCTGACATTACAACAATGTAAAGCTATCGCAGTAGAAAGCGTTCTCTCTTGTGTGACACGCATGAACCATAAACGCACGCACGCACGCACACACATACGTACAAACCTTCACTCAAACATACTTTGAAACACAAACTCGCCACATTAATTCGTTACACACACATGATTGTCTGTCATTTTGTAAACCGTTTGTTGTTTAATATATAATTCATTTGTCTGTACATATATATATGGCTCTTGTTTTTTTTTACACTTCTTTACGATTTATTCAATCTTCGAGTCCGCCATGTTTTTTTGCGGGCCAGTTTCAGGAGACACAGCACATATTCATCTCATAACGTATACACAGAGGCCCGAAACAATACCACCCATCAAAACGCGTAATTTGAAAGAAAAAAAAAGCGAGAGTCAAAAGCCATTATTCCAGGGAAAAAGAATCACCTTAATTTTAAAAAAAATAAGTAATTTGTAGAAAAATAGACTGAAACGTTTATTCGAGGATGACACAATTAGTGCTTAGAATTAGTGCTTAAAACTAGTGTTTAAGGGGCAAACGTGGACAAACGTGCCTGCAATAAAATACCATTTACCAACACGAACCCTCTTATTCCAAACTATAAAACTAACCAAAAAGACAAATATGTCCGCATTAAAACAGAGTGCCAAAATAATAGTTTTCTTCCATTGATACTGCTTTTATTTTAACTACCTTCACTCTTCGGCCATGTTAATTGTTTTAAAAAACGATGATTAGAATTACAATAAAACCTAAACATATGACTGTTTATCAGATTGTTTATTTACACTATTTATTTATTAGATTGTCCATTAGAATGGTTGGTAAAACATCGGCTAATAGTCAATGGAGTCAAACTTTATAAAAATATTAAATAATAAGTATTTCCTTAAAGTTGGCTCACATATTTTAATAATTTAGTAAATGTTTATAAATTTATGAATAAAATTTTTCACATTAATTTCTTTATAAATTGGTAAATGATAAATATTGCATTGCATTAGTTTTAATTGTATTAGTTTTTAGAATGTTGTAAACATAAAATTGTTCTTGTAAATAAAAAATCTAATAAATAAATAGTGTTTAATATTTTTGTTGTAAATTTTCAAGAACAAAAAAGATATATAAATTCACTTTTATCATTCAATTAGGTTTTATTTCAATCGCTTTTTAAAAATATAAAACGATGAGTGAAGGTAATTAAAAAAGCGGTGTCATGGGAAAAACCGTCCCTTTGACCCTATGTTTTATTGCGGGCAGGTTTAAAGTTAGTGCTTTAGTTTTTTGGGACGAGGGGGTCTGTGATGGTAAATGATGCCAATAAACTCAAAAAATTCTTAACCTACCGTAGATTCGAAATGCATATTCCAGCTTTATCTGCAGAGGACTTTTAGCGCTGAAGACAGATATCATGTCAAGAAAATCTATGAAAGTCATCGCTCCGGTTCCATTGTGTGAAAATACCTGACAAATTCGTTTACGGAAAGGATTCACCTGGTAAAAGACCAGAAACAATAAGAAAAGACAATATATAACATATAATTTACATTGATCAGTGAATATATATATATATATATATATATATATATATATATATATATATATATAACATATAACATGATGCGATGGGTAAATTGACGCCATTTATATTTTAAATTTGGCGCATGCGCGTTGTTTTTTTATTTTTATTTTGTTGACTACACTGTATAGTAGCGTCAGTTAGGCACCCACTGTGAGAAAAAGAGAACAATGACAATTCACTCCATCAGAAATTTGGAAACAGTATACTGTACGACTCGGCATTTTCACCGAAAGCTTCAATACGAACATTTCAGAGTGTTTGGGTGTCAATCAAAACAGTGCAGAGGATTCAGAAAGAGTTGGATGAGTCTAATGGTGATCACAAAGTACCTTAAGGAGATAGGGTCATCCAGCAGCCACTCTCTTGACCCAGGGCAGCACTATGTCTGGCAACATGACCCTGCACCATGCCACACAATCAGGATAACCCAGTCATGCCTGTCAGACAAGTTATGCGACCATCTGGCTACCTAACTTCCCATACTGCAACCCACTTGATTATTGTATGTGAGCGTAGTTGAGTGAGAGAACAAGAAAACTTCTTGTAACGCCAAAGATGAACTGAAGGCAAAGATTATGGTAGCATTCACCAACTTAATAAGCAGACCACCCAGAAGAGTTTTATGAGATTCCGAAGTCATCTAAAGGCCGTGGTTGAAACCAATGGCGATTTTTTAAAACTAAATTTACTCTTTAGTATAAATGGATATTCATATCTGAGTAGATGCTCTGTTTTTATTTATTTCTTAAACAGTATATTTATTTATTTACATCTAGCGGCCTGAATATTCGAGAAATCTTGTTAGAAGAATATGCGCCCTCCAGCAGGATTCGAACCTGTGTCCTCTAGAGGAAAACGTCATTAGATCTGACGTACCTTAGACCAACTCTGCACGTAGGAACTCCTGATCAAACAAAGCCCAAATAATGCTTTTGGACACACACCTCGATTCTCGAAATATACATCTCTGCTCTGTTTCGTATCCTAACGTAAAGAAAGACAATTTTTAGGAAATGGATTAAAACCGACATATTTCTAATTTATTTGTTTAAACGTTATTTTAAAAATCCTGCCGGAATATTCAGGCTGGTAGATGTAAATAAATAAATATACTGTTCAATAAATTAACTAAAAACAACATCTACTCAGATATGAGTATCCATTTAAAATAACGTTTAAACAAATAAATATGTCGTATTTAATCGATTTGCCAAAAAATATGTATGTATGTATGTATGTATGTATGGGTAATTCTTGTAAGAATTCAAATAAAATTTTGAAAATTCCTATGCCAACCATTTCATATTTTGATAAAATTTTATTATGTTATAGCCATCTATGAAAATCTACGTTTACCTTCCTTAGACGCTTCTTCAGGAGTTATGGTCTCTTGAAATTTAGTGTCAGTTTTTGCTGATTCGAAAATAACACGATTTGTCAACTTTGACACTTCTTAACTTTGAATTCTAAGAAGATATCAAGTTGATATTTGATAGACCTATGTTGAATCCATTGCATTCACTTACGTGCTAATAGCCTTGGGAAAGGTATGAAGCTTCTTCTTCTCCCCCCAGCTATGGGTAAATAGCAGGACAGATTGGTTCTATAGCCTTGGATGGCAACTGGTCTACCGCAGAAAGAAATGGCAAACTACTGCGGGAAAAAAACTGCCTCGTCAGTCATGTATCAAAAGATACATGATCGCCTAAGCGTGTATCACGTATAACTGACTGATAGTCAAATATATAGAGAACACCCTTCTGTTTTGTCATTTCATGTCTATTTCCTATGGCTATACTTATAGGCTGTTAAAAATAGGGAAAATTGCTATTTTGCCTTGATTTACCGCCCATATAAACTAAACCATTCGAATTAGAATAAAAAAATAAACTTTATTATAATCATCTGATGACTTATCTTGTAAGAAACGCTGGAATATTTGTTTTACAAGAGTCACATAATTCCTAGTTGGCAAATATTTACAACGCCCATTGAAATTAGACGCTTACTTAGTAAATACACTATCGGAAATGATAGACCCAAAGAAAGATTTTGCTTAAAGAATGTTGAGTTTCAATCAGGGCTTTATTGCCTGACTGATTTTGAAACCATTCAGACTCAGGCACCAGTTGCGGTCCTGAGCTTCGCGTTCCAATACAAAAATTGGAGTAGGCTTCTCTCCATGCAGCGTTTTATATAAATGCCAGTCTATCTCTTACTCGTATTTTTTTTAACTTTATTTATAATAGATATTTACTTAATATACTAAAACTGTTCACATTTTTTTAATATTAGTGAGAATTTTCGTCAGAGATAAGCAAACTTAGGAATTTGGCTCACTAACACAAGAAATACATACATCTGACATCATCGTTATTTTTAAGTGCCATTTCCTTTCAGGACGTAGGCGATCATGGTTCTCCATCTCCCTCTATCCCTTGCAGCTCTCAGCAAGTTCCTTCCCTCTGCTTCCTCCCCCAGACAACGTTCTGTCATCCACCTACTCAAACTCGTCGGGTATGTCACGTGCTGCTTTCCTTTGTCTCTCTTTCCCTCTAGTCGACCCGTGAGTATCAAATTCTCAAGGCATTCTTTCCTCATTATGTGTCCCAGTAATTTCAGCTGCCTCTTTCTGACGTTAAGTATCAGCCTTCTCCTTGTTTGTAACCTATCTAAGTTGCTCACATGCTCGGTCCATGATATAATTAGCATCTTTCTGTAGAAAATATTTAAAACACAAGATGGCCCAAAATATAATCTACTTCAGCACGTCTGATAAACAGACAATGGTACATCCTTAAAAATCTCTTGACAGTTAATACGTGTTTGTACATAATGACGCTGTCAGGAAGTCATTACATCCTACATACCAGAGTCCTTATAAAGTAATAAAGAGGACAAAAATGACACAGCTGCTATCGACAGGCTTAAACCCGAATAAGTAGAAAACGACAACACAACAGTAGACCTCAACTCCAACGAAATCAACCTTGGCGTCACAAAAAAAAAAAAAAAAAGCATCTACATCACAGCAAACATCCACGCCAAATATACAAATAAAATCTGGTCGGAAGTCATCGTTCATCATCTCCACAATACTTTAAGACCTACATTAGGTAGTGGGATGTTGGTGAAGATATGCGCCATCAGTCATCTATACACGCATGCGTTGATAATTCTATCAGCAGCAGTAACTCCTTTTCACCTTATGGGCATGCCTGAAAAGAAAAGAACTGGAAGCATGCGTGATGTAAATTCTCAGAGGTCAGCTTTTATTCACTTCGGTCCGAGATCGGGATAAGATGTCCAATTGAAGCACATGACAGAAAATACATCTCATTCACTCTTTAACTCACCAACAGAATAAGTTCAATTTTTTCTTCATTTCTTTTTTACAGAGACTCTTAAGAACATTATTGGAATTCACTTTTTCAGGAACATTTACACGAAAATGTCCCCGATATAATTTTTTTTTACTCTATCTTATTTTCTTTCAATATCATGTTTGTCTGTTTTCTCAACCAATTCAACACTTGTAGTTTTGTTTGTCAACACACGATGCCTCCTCGACTTCAAACGATGACCCCTATCCTATCATTCTGTCGAATTCTGATTCATATTTGATCCCATTTCATATATATATATATATATATGTGTGTGTGTGTGTGTGTGTGTGTGTATGTGTGAATATATAGAAAAATACAAAAGAATCGTTAAGTTAATAATCCAAAGTTCTTTAGTATTTTTATTTTTATTTAAAAAAAAACAGTGCTCGATACACAAGTAGAGCCTATATTATAATTATTTTTTTTTAAATATGATTCCATCGCTACATAAGAGTTCTCATGTTTCAAAAACAGAAGCTAAAAACTTCAATTTAATTATAGAAATTAAATTCAAGTACCTAGTTTTGTTTCATCATCAAGCGAATTTTTGAATAACTAATTTTGAAATTTACGGAACTTTATAAGCATATACATTCGTAATATTAATTTCTACGGATATGGAGAAAACTAATCATTTTAATAAGGGGCGGTAGGGTAATCATTTTCACTGACAACTATTGTATCAACATATTAGTTACTTTTAGAAAAGAGGTTAAGTCAAGGTAAGGTCGAGGTGCCTTTTTTTCAAACGAATGATGATAATAGTTGTTAGTGAAAATGAATACCCTACGAATTTATTGTTCAATCAGGACGTTGTTAAATAACAGCATTATGGAAATTAGGTGTGATCCACTGAAATGAAGAAGTTAGATTCTACAGGTTGGTTGGCTTTTGAACTCTTGAAACCGTTTATTTTCCATTTAACATCACTTGACAACACACCTGAAGTGTCGAAACAAAATTGCAAATTTTGTAGTGATTTTATAACATGCATTTGTTATAAATTTGAATATATATATATATATATATATATATATATATATATATATATATATATATATATATATGTCGAGTCGAATCCATTACATTTACTTACGTGCTAATACCATTGGGAAACGTATGAATCCTCTTCTTCTCCCTCCAGCAATGGGTAAATAGCAGGACAGACTGGGTTCTACAGCTTTGGATAGTAACTGGTCTACCGCAGAAAGAAATGGCAACCTACTGCGGGAAAAAATCTGCCTCGTCAGTCGTGTATCGAAAGATACATAATCGCCTACACGTGTATCACGCATGGCACATAACTGATATATCGAGAACTAGGTAGTTAAAAGCATTTGAATTGTATGTAGGAAATGTAATGATTCTGTGACAGGCAACTGTTTGATACTGTATCTCAGATACTAGACTTAATATGTCAATAATATAATGTGAGGTTCTGAAAGATGCTTTCTCTATTCAGCGCATGCTTTATAAATAACTTTTTGCCAGAACATTGCGTCACATGTTACTTCGATGACAAAGGAATTGGTAAAAAATAGAGCGGCTTCGGCAAAAGAAATCCACTATTTATTTACTTGTTGATCACATGATAGGCACGAGAACACGTTTTCGTAATTTTGGTGGTTCTCTGGTTTGAACACTTGTGCAAAGGCGTAAATATGACCTTGGTATTAATGGAGCAATCAGAATATGTCAATTACTGAAACTTGGTTTGGAGCCTTATATGTGTTTCGCTTGCACAAGGTTTTAGAACTTTGCACGTGAAGATACACAAAATACAATTTTAATATTTATTGTTCAATCAGGACGTTGTTAAATAATGGAAAACATTATGAAAATTAGGTGTGATCCATTGAGATGTAGAAGTTAGATTCTACAGATTAGTTGGCTTTTGAACTCTTCCTTACTCAGCGAAAGCTTTATAAATAATTTTTTGCCAGAGCGTTGCGTCACATGACAAAGGAACTGACAAAAAATGGAGCCGCTTCGGCAATAAGAAATCCACTTGTAGATTCTGACTTCGGCAGACAGTATTTTGTAGAACTTTCTAATTACAGGGAAGAAAAATTAAGTTTCGATCAGTCAATTCTTTGTACTGAATTCTTGTAAGTTATTTTCACAGACCAAAGAATTGTTTAACCAGAACATTTCGCATAAAAAACAGCAAAAATATGAAAGTATTTATTAAAAAAATTAGATGTAGAAGGCTGGAGTGTATTTTGATTGTTTTAAAAACCCGAGAAAAAAAAAGCTTAGTTACAAGAAAAAGGAGTTTTACTTGAACTTTTAAACTTCATCTTCATAAAGGACAAATGTATGTAAATTTGCACGGGAAAAGAACGAAAGATTTATTCATATTTACCTTCAGCCGTGAGCTATTTTGAATTACTTCCATTGGTAATTCGCAATTCCTGTTCATCGATACTGCATCATAGTCCAAGTTTTTGAACTCTTTGAACAATCTGAAATTCCATAAAAAAAGCTCTGTTGGGAATTATTTCATCTCATTATTTAAACTTTATTATTATGATTGATGAAATAAAATGCAAATCTCACTAGCCATTGAGAGTAGATTAGATCTGAATCAAGTGCTGTAAAAATGCGACCATATCAAAGTTGGTCCAATCCAGGAAATTCTTTAGAAGTGCATGATGCAGTACAGAGGTCAACTTAATGATATGGCTAATTATTGAACAAAGAAAACAACAAAAAGCAAAACAAAACAGCGATTACGACCTCCTGATAAACCCGCTTAACAAACAATTGGAATCCTTATTAGATTCCTATATCTTTCGTTCTACAATCAGAAATTATACTATAAAAATAGTTTCTGGTTAGATATTCTATAGAAAATAATTTCTAAAAAGTGATTCTATAGAATAGTTTTTTTCTGATTAAAGAACACAGGCAATAAGGATTTTATCTTTTATAGCACCCGAATGTGATTATGAATGCAATGAGTTTCACATACATTCTCATATTTTGTTTCTCACTCTTTTTATATAATTTTTATGTATTTTATAGATTTATATATTTTTATATATATTTATATTTATATATATATATTTATATTTACATATTTTATATATATTTATATATTTTTATATATTTATATTATTAATTTTTGTTTTCTTCCTTATATAGTTTTTAAATCTCAATAAATTATCAATTAACCTGTTTTTTACTAACACTCGATGAGATGTGTTAATACACATCGAAACATGATTTCATTTGTGTAGCGTTTTTCCACATGTTTCTATTCTAATAACCTAAAATAAAGACTACTGCTCTACTTTTGTATTGAATTGTGCTTTTAAATTGAATGTTACGAACGTCAGAATTGGATCCTATTCGTTCTCATTTTCACATGGATATATATTATTATATAAATTCTTTTAACGTCTTTCAAACATTGCTATTCACTGATTGAAATATTATTCTCTTGCTGTTGATACCACCTGTAAATCATTTTTTTTTTAGATTTGGAAACAGGAAATAATTATACAGGGTGTCCATAAAGTTCGTGTGCACTTTAAAAATTTATAACTTTATTTGTATCTGCGATAGAAATAATCTGTAAAAAGGATTAGAAAGAGCTAAATCTATATTTTTTAAGGGTTTTATTGAAATTTTATTTAAGTTTCCACATGTCCTCCATCATTAGGAATACAAAGGGTAATACAATTTTACAGTTCACGGAATGCATTTGCCAACTGATTTACAGTAATGCCTGAAATCACATTAGTTATTTTAGCTATACTTAAAACTAGGTACATTAAACTTTATAACATTTTTTACAGATTATTTCTATGGCAAATCCAAATAAACTTATAAATTTTTTAAAGTGCACACGAACTTTATGGACACCCTCTATGGAGCAATATCTGGTGAGTAGAGTGGATGGCCGAGGCACATAAACGCTAAATTCCTCGAATTTATCTAGCTAACTTTATGAGCCAATGCATTGTATTTTGCCCAAACGAAACATCTTCCTATAGCTTCTATTTTTGTTCTTTCAATGCCACATTTAAGGACGCATCCCAAAAGCTGGGATTTCTTTGGTAACAAAATAAAGAGTACTGAGCTGTTACGTGACATCTGTCTTCCTTTACGGCATTGAATGTTGGACGGTCTCCTCAAAGATGAGGAAGAGACACGAGGCTGAGGATATCATGGATCGATCGTGTAAGCAATGATGAGGTTTTGGAGAGGATGCAAACAAGGAGGAGGCGTATACGTAACATCAGGAAGAGGTAGCTGAAGTTTCTGGGACACGTAACGAGAAAGAAGGGCCTGGAGAATCTGATACTCACAGGTCGAAGAGAGGGAAAGAGAGACAAGGGGAAAAGCAACGCATGACATACCTGGCGGGCTTAAGCAAGTGGATGAAAGGACGGGCTCTGGGGCTGGTGGCAGAGGGACGGAACTTATTGAGAGCTGAAAGGGATAGAGGGAGGAGGTGGAGAGCCATGATCGGCTACCGTCCCCCAGAAGAGACACGACAGATAAAAAGAAAGAATAAGTCAGAATAGTGTTTTCTGTGAGAATTCTTTTCTGCTTTTGTACTTATCGCAATACATTTCTTATCTAATAACAACGTAGGCGATGAACGTTTCAGAAGATTCCGGATTCTTGAATTTCTCCAAGAACGAGAAAGAATGTCACCATTGCATAGAATGTTGTATGTTTTTTTTATGATCATAGTGATGTAACCTTGTTTCATTAACGATGCAATGACAAATCTTCCACGCCCCTTCAAAAAAACCTGGATTGCTGAAAATACTACAGAATCAACTTGAAGACACCCAAATCGACGTCATTTCTGGTCGGTATTCAAACATTTTGTCACACACTGGGATGAACGCTTCTGTATACAAACCGATCATTAATTTTCATACTTTTTCACCTAATCCAAGGCACTAGAGAGCTACTGAAAGTAGAGGATCGCCCATTTTTAAAAAGGTTATAATTAATGAGATGTAATATATGAATGAAAGAGTTGCTAGTAAGAGAAATTTGTAGCGTTTAGGAAAGCATCCATGCGGGAGTTTGACGTAGAAAGTCGTCGTTGTTAGGAAAAAGATGTGTGAATAGAACCTTCTTATATTTTGAATACGGAGGAAATGAGGGTGATTTGTTTCCGTGGAAGTAGTATGGAGTGTCCTAGCTATAAAGGTTTGAAATGGTGGAACTAAAGAATCAAGGTATCTGAAAACTAGAAACTAGAAATGTGATAGAGTGCTTGTGACGTTGCGTTTTCCCTCACACGACACATAAACGATTCTGAACGCTATCTAGCCAGGATTGGGCAGCTCCATCCCAGACATGGAAGTAAGCTCCTAGTTTTGGTCTAATCTGACTCTTGCAGAGATATAGCCTGGCAGGAGACGTACTTCTTGAAGCAATAGAATGGACCGGTCATTCATCTTTAGGAATTGATCGTATAAATGAATTCCATTTGAAGTCTGGAGTGAACTTGAGACAAGGTAGATATTCAGGGAGCCTCGTTAACAGGACAAACATTTCACCATGATTGGAGAAATATCACGTCTAATCGATGATGATGAAATTATATTAGTTTCGTTTTTAAGACACTGAAAGTGTCATACGGTGCCTCATTCTATCAGCAAATAACGACATAGCTTCTTTGAGGACACATTTACAATTCTTGTGCGCAGACATATATAGGCGTCTGCTGTGGTCGAAACTGTCATGCTGGTACAGCCGGGAAAAAGGTGTTCCTGTGAGCTATAGTAGCTAAACAGGTCTGTCTGAACCAAGGAGAAGATTGTGGTTTTACCTGATATTTACGAGAAGGTACAAAAGCATCAATGCCGGCTTTAACCCAAGAAGAAACTTCTGTGGCACAATTCTCAATTCAAGGAGCGTCTCGAATAAAGTCACAGAATAAATCTAAATCAGTACTCTTGGTAACGGAAGGAAGTCTTATGAATAGGAGATTCCTTTGTAATAGATGACTCAAAAAGAAATGTCAACAGATACGACAGCACGATCCAAATTGCCAAGAGGGCAGAGTTGTGATGCTCTACAAGAGTTAGGAGAGGAGATAAGAGCAAATCAACCAAAGAATGTTGATCAGATTTATTAGGGAAGAGTAGGAAATTCAATATTTGACCAAGAGGTTGAGCAGCGGAAAAACTGAAAGTCTGAATACTGGCAACATCAGTATCATTAGAATTCTTAAGCCACTTGACGTGATGAGCATTAAAATCACCAAACACAAATTGTTCGCAGATAAATGGGGTGGGGAGAGATATTTCTATATTATCAGAAATGTTGTTTAATATATTACAGTCCTGAGAAGGAGAGCGATTAAGGAAAAAAAGATAGCTAACAGAGTGTAATAACGAAAGTCGAAAGCACATGAAAGACTCATCTGTGAATTCAAGAGACAATTCTCTTGCAATAGGGAGATTTCCCGAATGTAAACACCAAGGCCATGCATATGTATCCTATAATCTTTTTGACAAAAAGGAAGACAGCCTGGAAGAGATGATTTATTGGTAGTGAAAGAAGAACTGGTTTCGCAAAGTGCGATGGTATCTGGAGAACATTTCAAGAGAAAAGATTTGACACTTCAGAAATTGGAATGGATACAACGAATAATGAAGAAAGAAAGTTTGAGGGCGGTTGGGGATTTTTTGTTTACTGCATTTTCATTGTTTCTGTCATAAGATATGGCCATGAAAGAGAACATTAACCTAAAAACTCGAATCACACACACATAAATATCAGCGCTCACACACACACACACACACACACACACACACATATATATATATATATAAGCACTCATATTTTTAAATATATACATATATATAAGAAATCATATATATAAGCACACATAAATGCGCACACACATACACACATGCTTATTTATATGTATACAAGCACTCAGATATATGTATACATACATGGAAACACATATATACATATATTAAACACTTATATATATATATATATAAGCATATATGCAAGCGTTGATATATATGTATATATGTATACATATAAACACTCATATATATATATATATATATATATATATATATATATATATATATATATATATATACATGCATAAGGACGCACACCAATTTACACACATATATATAAGCAGCCGTATATCCTCCCCCCGCCAACACATATATATAAGATAAATGATACAAATATAGTTTTATGCTATAGTTATAGGTAAAAGTTCTCAATCTTAGGGATAGAGCGCGCCTAAATATAAGAGTGGACACTGAAGCCAACATCGAGTGTTTCATGCTTGAACGCAGTCTTCAAACGTTCAGAATATTAATGTCCAGGCCTAAAACAGACTGTCGCTACTAGATGTTGAGCTTATATATATATATATATATATATATATATATATATATATATATATATATATATATTAAAGAGAGAAGAAGCCGCAAACATTTTCTGGTTATACTGT